GTTAACCAAGAGAGAATAAGAGAGAAATGAGCTGCGCACAAACCTAATTCGATTTAGGTTTCTGGAACGAAGGGAAAAGACAGAACTGCCCCTCTTGTTTTAACAAATTACTTTGACCAGCCAACTCCAAAATTTGACTCCTACATGTCATCTGAATGCCACATCACTACAAAAACATTCATTATTATTGAAATAATAAATATGAGTTTAGAATACAGAATAAAGATGAACCCTTCTATGATGAATCAAGCTCTAAACTTTGTTTGTCTTGATCTCCAAGTTGCAAATCCTCTTTCCAATTCTATCTAACTCCCTTAGGACGACTTAAAGATACCTCTTTGTATTTATAGGGTACCAAGACTTTATTTAAAATAGTCATATTCAGATTAGACTTCGTAATCTTTTAAAAATAAACTTAATAAAGTCCTACAGAAGTAGGAGTCGTCGTCATGTAGTAGCATGGGTTGACTTGTGCCACAACATGCGCACAATCTTCAATTTTATCTATCATTATGCTGCGGCATAGGTAGACTTATGCTACGGCATGCGCAACTTCATCTTTGTCATTAACTTTCCTGGCCGTGGCATGAGTAAACTTGTGCTGTGACACACAAAGATGCTCTTTTTATTGTACAAAGCGTTATGAATTTGATGAAGTCTTCAACATACGAATTGTTTATCTTTTCATTAGCTTTCCAATGCTTCAAGAATCATCCCCAAATGAGGTCTACAGATCCAGAAACAATCAGAACACTGAAGTATGCTTGAGACTTTGATGAATTTCCAATTTTTGCCCTTTGTATTCAAAACTTCATAACTCTCCCGTTTCAACTCCGATTCTTGAACCATTCATTTGGTCATGTTGCTCTTCACATAAATGTCTTTTTAACGTCATTAACTTGAAAACACTCAAAACATACACGTGATCACATAAAAGATAACAATGCAACAATTAAGGAAAATAAGTCTAAATCAAATAATTATCTCCATAAATCACCAAATAAAAGTGTGTTTCCAAGCTCTTATCAAAACCCTCAACCAGCTTCTTGCTAGTCTCTAACAAGCTAAGTGATAAAAAGTGTCTTTAACTCAAAAATTAAATGAAACAACTCTAAACCAAACAATCCTAAATCACTTCTGTAAATTGATACGGTTGTATTTAGTATATGCGATAAGCCTTTAAACCCTTAGGCAGCCCTAGTTGGATGAGTTATAGGTTTGTGAGGGTTTCTTGCAATGATACCCACAAAATCCACACTAACCCTATTCTAGACTCAAAACAAAAGCAAAAATAATAATAAAAGAAAACTAAAACTTCTTGGATCACTATACAATTTTGTCTCAAAAATTGCCTGAACATAGAAAAGCAGGAAAAAATTAAACATTATGCGATTCTAAAAATAATGCAAACACCAACTCCATTTTCGTCTTACACTCTCTCATCTATGAAACCACAAACTGTTAATCCCAAGACCCGGATGTTTTTATACACAACACTCATGGACAAAAGAATTGATCCCTAAAGACTACGACTTTACTAGAAATCGTTAATTCAAACTTCGTAAGCTCACTTTTCAACCCACTATCCACCAATGTAGAATCATAACACCATTTCGAATCAATAGGTCTTTCATAAGGTTGTAATGTCGGCTAAGGTATGGGGTCATGAAAGAAAAGAAAACAAATAAAACAAAGTTAAGACTTACTCTTTTAGTTCAATTCCTTAACATTTCCCCAACTTTAATCAACTCTTCCCTCCACCATTAGCACACCCTGTTACATTTTCACACAATCAACCAAACGTCTTCTGTAATTACTTCTTCTAATAGAATATTTTTTAAAAATTAAAATAATAATTATTTTTCATTTGGAAGAAAATAACACAGAATAATAACAATCCTTAATTTCCTGTTCTCTCTACAACCCCCAACCTATTTACTTGTATAAATTTAGGTTGTGACTTGCATTTCTGCTATATTCCTCCATCTAACTTGTTTCCCTACCAATACCGCAATAATTCAAGTCTCTTAACACTCAAGGGTAGGTATGTGTTTATGGTTCATTGTTAAGGTAGGATAATATAAGTTTTTACCAAAGAAAAATAGGTTGTCAATGTGTGTATAACGGCTAGAGACAAAATAAAATGGGTTGGCTTGACAAGCTCAATCGATCCAAAAATCGCCTAAATCATATCCTAAGCAATGCATATTCTAGGATTTCTCCTCAAGTGGTTCTCAAATAACTACTAGAGTTTTGTTGAGATCTAATATTCAAATGACCACAAGAAAATCACACATAAAATATCTCTTAAGTTTTTAGATTAATCAGCCAAACATTCCCAAACCATGAGAGTCATAAACTAGATGTCGTTGGCACTTAATAACATCTTTAAATCCCTACAATGTTAACTTTTCTACATGTTCATGCTTCTGGCAACCATATTAATATCATTGACATATGAATTAATCCAAGAAAAACAATTTTTTTTTTTTTTCTATGCCATAAAATTTCCAAAGGCAATGCCTACCCCAAACCAAAATTCAACATTGCCCTGAATGTGGACAAAAGAAAAGGTACCTGTTGCATAGATTGGAACGAAAGAATGCCAAATTGTGGTGCCGGAAGGTGCTCATCAAGTCTATCACAAAGAAATAACTAGCAATCTTAGCCTCCCATTACGCATAGAAATTATGAAATAACGCTTCAGTCATATATATATATATATATAAAAACTCAAACTAAAAAGGAAAGAACGTAATCGTACCAATGTCAAAACATCCAATACAAACACAAAATAAAGCAACATAGTAGAATAGTAAAACAGTCAACCATACAATGCTGAAACAAAACAAAAAGACCACCAAAAGCAAAGAAATAACAACAAAATAGCAGTGGCCCAACCATCCACTCTTCCATGCTATCTTCGAAGTCTTCGTTAGGAACTTTATTGGCATTCGTAGAAGGTGTAAAGTGAAACTCATGCAAGGACAAACCCGAAGCTTCTACTTGCTCATTCCCAAGATGCATTCGCTGCAACTCAAAGATGACATGAAACTGCTCTTGGAACCATACTTCTTGTTGCGCTTGAAAGTCCATCAACTGATCAAGTTTTGCACTAACCATGTCAAACTTAGTTTGCTTGGGTGCTTTTGACATTGTAGCCGTACTCGAACTTGCACCTTCTTATTTGTGCCTAATGGAAAGGTTGTGCATAAATTGAGTAGTCAAGCATGACCCTGGTTGAACCAACACCTCACCTGAACTATGAGCCACCCCTACCTTTCGACATAATGCAGTAATGAGTTGCGGAAAGTGGTAATTAGTTTTGGGATTCCTTGCACAGTGCATAATTTGAGAAAAGATGATGTTCCCTACATTCATTTGCATCTTCTAAACAATAGTATAAATCAGGATAGCCCTTGCTTTCTCTAAACTACTAAGATAGGTCGTGGGCATCAATCTCGATTGGACAAAGTATTGACATATGCGAGCAAACTCGTAAAGGTATTTGCCATCAAACTTCTTCTATTCCCCATGAGTGATTAACCATTTTGCTTTGTTATANATCATTTAACGCCATCAGAGTATCATTCAAAGTGGAATATCTTGATTCAAAAGACTCGTAATTTTTGTCTGGTTTAAGCCACATGTCCTCTAGAATAGTGGGATAGGAAACTTTCCCGAAGTCCCTTTGTTGCTGTAAGAGTTGAGAAATATTGTCCTTCTTCAATTTGGATGCTTTCTTCCCATGTTTGTAGCGGGTAATCAACTTAGGACAGAATCCCTAAAACATCTGCCGTTCGCTTTCTCTGCAATCAACTCCTCTGCTTCATGAATGATGGAATTCACATCCTTATGCCAGTGCGTAACATTCTTTTTTATCTTTCCCATATTTTTTTCAGCCGCAACAACTTTATTCTTTACCTCCTCTTCTGCTTCCTTCAGCTTCTCCACTTTTTTTTCAAGGCTTCTAAAGTCGGTAACATCCAGTAAGTCACATGCCAAGTCTTGTAACCTGTGACCCGTGTTGAATCTGGAAGCCAAACACGTCGTAAAGTATAAAATAAAAGACAGAACACATAATTTATCCTGATTCATTCCAATTAAGGAATTACGTCCAGTATTCAAATAAAGAATTATATTGAGTATCAGAATTTTGCTGTAATTACAATGGTAGTTAATTCTCACTGTCTATTTTTCACACATTAGGTTTCTCACAGCTACAAAAAAATAATAATAATAATAAATAACATTTAAATAAAGAATTTTATTGAGTATCAAAATTCTGTTGCAATTACAACGATAGTTAATTCTCACTTTCTATTTTTCACACATTAGGTTTCTCACGATTACAAAAAAAAAAAAAAATATATATATATATAATAGAAAACCTAATCCCATTTGAATTTACTCGAATCTAATCCATCAAAGACATAGATAAGTATACACCATATCCAACAACCCGATGGTAAGGAGTTACAAAATTTACCAACTTCACATGAAAGCAAGTAGTAATACTACTTTTCTCAAATGAAATCCCAAATTTTCCATCCCAAATTACATGGCGTTGACATAATTTGTCCTTATGCACGTTGAATGCAGTACAATTCGTTTTACATTAATCCGCTAACAGCTTTTACATTATGGTTACATGCATTCAAATGTAGAACAATGTTGCAGAAGTTGTTTGGTTGCTCCATTAGAATTCATTCTTCTTTTGGAATGTTTTACATTAATTACAAGAAATGCAAATACTAACTTATGATTTCGCAATGATGTAACTGACTAGTACCAGATTTTATAAACATTTAATATTATTTCGGTAATATTTAGGAACCTTAAACATTAATTTGTAGCATTTAAAGTGTTAATGAAACTTGGGTTGTTTGTTGTCTTTACTAATCTTTAATATTATGGATTCTCTGCTTCATCAATGAAAATGATGGGAGAGAAGGAAGAGTAAATAACAGGACAAAAAGAGTGCAAATATAACAGAACTAGAGATGCTGAAAAATCAAGCAATAGCATTCTGGTTTCGCAGCAATTGCTTGATTAATATATTACTCTCATTTGTTGGTTGAGTCATTTCCTGGCTTTTAATATGACTGTTTAAGTCTTTGGAAATTGTTCATACAGTTTGTAGCAATGAACTACAGATCATCTTTACTAATCTTAGAACAAAATTATGACGAGAATCGGAGAGAACCTACACTAAGAATTTGGAAACACAAAACACGATCATATGAATTGTACAATGTTAAACATTGTCACAGCCAAATGAACTACGCCTGATCATCATCATCCTGCATAAACGAAGAAGGGAAAATAATTTAGCAAATATTTTAACATGAATAACAAATTTATCGGAACAAGAATCGAAACATCCCATCCTCACCTCGGAGCTGCCCTCTTCATCTTCCTCCTCATCGCCCACCTCAGACATTGATGTATCAGACTCCTCTTCAGGCCAGATCTCAAAATCTTTAGCAAAATCTTCAGCCTTTTTTTTTTATATTTTTTTACCAATAACCAAGATAAAATGACATACAAGTTCAACAGATTGAGATAAGAGCACCATTTCAAAGGTAATAAATGTAATAAATATAGTTTAATGACTAAAAACATACCATTTTTTCATGTAATTGTTGTATGGTTGCGTTGAGGTCAACGTCCCAATAGACAGTCTTGTCTAGCTCAAATATCTGTAATTTTGGTGTGCTTATAACTCTTTTAGTGAAAGTCTCCATGTTGGGGCAATTTGTCACAGTTACATACTTCAGAGATGAGAATTTGAAGGTGTGATTGCTAGAGCTGAAGCTAGTGAGATTATATAATCGTCCAAGTGACAACCTCTTCAATTTTCTGAAAACAATCTCATCATCTTCTACATCCCCGTCATCTACTACTATTTCTTCAATATCGCAGTCATAAATATTCATTTCTTTCAGTTGCACCAAGCCCTTGGCTGTTGAGGATGTTACCAAGTTCATTAATCCACAGCAAAAACGTACTTGGAGAGTTGTTAGATTTTGGAAAGAAGTTGGGAAAGGCTCTAAATTGAGCAAATTGTCACACTCCTGTATGTTTAAATATTTCAACTGTGCGATGTTCCCAGCCTCTTCACATGATAATATCTCTGTGTATGAACAACAATTTAGGCTGAACACTTCCAAATTATTAAATCTTTGGAGTAAACTAAGTGGAAAAACATATGATTCATCATCCACCACCTCAACTACTTTGAGTTTGAGAAAGAGATGTTCCGGTAACTGGCTTATCATCACAATGTCCTTACTGTTTAAAGCCAATTCCTCCAAGTTGGGGAAGACCTGGTGACCAATCAGAAAAAACCAAATCTAGTTGGACATGGAAAAGATTTCGAAAATTTTCAAAGGATTATTTTCGAAAATACCTTTCTTGTAGAAAAGATTTTTGATGAAATTTATGGAAAAGGAGAAAGGTCTTTAATGAATTATTAAGGTAGGTTTATCTATTCACAAATTTAAACAAAAGAAATCTGTCTCTTACCTTTTCGACCACAAAAAGGGGCTGCTTTGGTGGGACTTCAAGTTGGCCCTCCTCATCAGGTTCCTGGAAGCTAAACAACTCCGAGGTGAATATCACTACTTTGTCGCAACCATACACCTCAATCTTCTTTAACTCTGGCCATTCTGAAATTTCTATTCCAGAGTAGAAAGTTGTAAGCTTTGGTAGGTCACAGAGTTTCAGGGAGGTTAGCCGCGGAAAGACAAACCTATCAGCTACTTCTGCTTATTCCTTCATAACAATCTCCTCCAAAACCTCACAGTGGCATATCTCAAGGTGTTGAAGCAGAACAAAGTTTCCAACCATAGAAGATGAAAATATATATCTTAGTTTATCACACTCTTGCACGATCAAGCGTGTCAAATTTTGGACACGGTAAGACATTGATGGAAGTTGGTTGAGCCAGATCATTTGAAAATTAATTGCAGATAATTCCAAGGCCTCAAGGTTGGGGAATACAACCTACAAACAAATTAGAATAAGCAAAATGAATGAAATTAAATGATAAAAAAATAAGTTTACCATTAATTAACCTTTTCATTGAACAGAGATGTGAGAGTATCTATCTCGTCTTCCACAACGATTTCACTGGAGATTGCTCCAGTTGTAAATTCCCTGTGTACATTTTGAGAAGTGGAAGGTGTTTTCACTTTGGAGCAGAAGCTTTTGAACTGTGGGAGAACTTTTAGAGTCAAGAAACGTAATTGTCCAAACTCAATTTTGTCAGTCAGTTCATTGTTGATATCATCTTCTCTTCCAATAGAAAAAATCTCTTCCATATTCTCGCATTTAATCACCTTAATAGTTTGAAGTTGTGGAAGGAATCTGGCAACGGAGAATGAGAAGATATTTTTCAATTTCTCACACTTCCTCACATTCATGATTCTCAACTTGCAAAAGGACTGTGTTGTGAATTGACTGTGACATATCTTCTCTAAATTAATCAAATTGTTAAGAACCAATGACTCCAAGAGAGGGAAGGGACCGCATGATACTGGCTCAATTGAATCAATGATGCAGAGAAAGTAGGCACTATTTTGAACATGGAGATGCTTCAATTCTACAAAACCCTCTCTGTCGAATGCATAAAGAACATTCTCACCATGCCATTCATCTATGCGTAGGTCTTCAACATTCTTGACGCCCTGCAATTCCTCCCAGCAAATGCTTGAATTGAGCTTGAGTTTCAACGTTCTTGAAATTTGGCACTTTACAAACAAAAGGGGGGGGAAATAACAGGACAAAAAGAGTGCAAATATAACAGAACTAGAGATGCTGAAAAATCAAGCAATAGCATTCTGGTTTCGCAGCAATTGCTTGATTAATATATTACTCTCATTTGTTGGTTGAGTCATTTCCTGGCTTTTGATATGACAGTTTAAGTCTTTGGAAATTGTTCATACAGTTTGTAGCAATGAACTACAGATCATCTTTACTAATCTTAGAACAAAATTATGACGAGAATCGGAGAGAACCTACACTAAGAATTTGGAAACACAAAACACGATCATATGAATTGTACAATGTTAAACATTGTCACAGCCAAATGAACTACGCCTGATCATCATCATCCTGCATAAACGAAGAAGGGAAAATAATTTAGCAAATATTTTAACATGAATAACAAATTTATCGGAACGAGAATCGAAACATCCCATACGCACCTCGGAGCTGCCCTCTTCATCTTCCTCCTCATCGCCCACCTCAGACATTGATGTATCAGACTCCTCTTCAGGCCAGATCTCAAAATCTTCAGCAAAATCTTCAGCCTTTTTTTTTTATATTTTTTTACCAATAACCAAGATAAAATGACATACAAGTTCAACAGATTGAGATAAGAGCACCATTTCAAAGGTAATAAATGTAATAAATATAGTTTAATGACTAAAAACATACCATTTTTTCATGTAATTGTTGTATGGTTGCGTTGAGGTCAACGTCCCAATAGACAGTCTTGTCTAGCTCAAATATCTGTAATTTTGGTGTGCTTATAACTCTTTTAGTGAAAGTCTCCATGTTGGGGCAATTTGTCACAGTTACATACTTCAGAGATGAGAATTTGAAGGTGTGATTGCTAGAGCTGAAGCTAGTGAGATTATATAATCGTCCAAGTGACAACCTCTTCAATTTTCTGAAAACAATCTCATCATCTTCTACATCCCCGTCATCTACTACTATTTCTTCCATACCGCAGTCATAAATATTCATTTCTTTCAGTTGCACCAAGCTCTTGGCTGTTGAGGATGTTACCAAGTTCATTAATCCACAGCAAAAACGTACTTGGAGAGTTGTTAGATTTTGGAAAGAAGTTGGGAAAGGCTCTAAATTGAGCAAATTGTCACACTCCTGTATGTTTAAATATTTCAACTGTGCGATGTTCCCAGCCTCTTCACATGATAATATCTCTGTGTATGAACAACAATTTAGGCTGAACACTTCCAAATTATTAAATCTTTGGAGTAAACTAAGTGGAAAAACATATGATTCATCATCCACCACCTCAACTACTTTGAGTTTGAGAAAGAGATGTTCCGGTAACTGGCTTATCATCACAATGTCCTTACTGTTTAAAGCCAATTCCTCCAAGTTGGGGAAGACCTGGTGACCAATCAGAAAAAACCAAATCTAGTTGGACATGGAAAAGATTTCGAAAATTTTCAAAGGATTATTTTCGAAAATACCTTTCTTGTAGAAAAGATTTTTGATGAAATTTATGGAAAAGGAGAAAGGTCTTTAATGAATTATTAAGGTAGGTTTATCTATTCACAAATTTAAACAAAAGAAATCTGTCTCTTACCTTTTCGACCACAAAAAGGGGCTGCTTTGGTGGGACTTCAAGTTGGCCCTCCTCATCAGGTTCCTGGAAGCTAAACAACTCCGAGGTGAATATCACTACTTTGTCGCAACCATACACCTCAATCTTCTTTAACTCTGGCCATTCTGAAATTTCTATTCCAGAGTAGAAAGTTGTAAGCTTTGGTAGGTCACAGAGTTTCAGGGTGGATAGCCGCGGAAAGACAAACCTATCAGCTACTTCTGCTTCTTCCTTCATAACAATCTCCTCCAAAACCTTACAGTGGCATATCTCAAGGTGTTGAAGCAGAACAAAGTTTCCAACCATAGAAGATGAAAATATATATCTTAGCTTATCACACTCTTGCATGATCAAGCGTGTCAAATTTTGGACACGGTAAGACATTGATGGAAGTTGGTTGAGCCAGATCATTTGAAAATTAATTGCAGATAATTCCAAGGCCTCCAGGTTGGGGAATACAACCTACAAACAAATTAGAGTAAGCAAAAAGAATGAAATTAAATGATAAAAAAATAAGTTTACCATTAACTAACCTTTTCATTGAACAGAGATGTGAGAGTATCTATCTCGTCTTCCACAACGATTTCACTGGAGATTGCTCCAGTTGTAAATTCCCTGTGTACATTTTGAGAAGTGGAAGGTGTTTTCACTTTGGAGCAGAAGCTTTTGAACTGCGGGAGAACTTTTAGAGTCAAGAAACGTAATTGTCCAAACTCAATTTTGTCACTCAGTTCATTGTTGATATCATCTTCTCTTCCAATAGAAAAAATCTCTTCCATATTCTCGCATTTAATCACCTTAATAGTTTGAAGTTGTGGAAGGAATCCGGCAACGGAGAATGAGAAGATATTTTTCAATTTCTCACACTTCCTCACATTCATGATTCTCAACTTGCAAAAGGACTGTGTTGTGAATTGACTGTGACATATCTTCTCTAAATTAATCAAATTGTTAAGAACCAATGACTCCAAGAGAGGGAAGGGATCACGTGATACTGGCTCAATTGAATCAATGATGCAGAGAAAGTAGGCACTGCTTTGAACATGGAGATGCTTCAATTCTACAAAACCCTCTCTGTCTAATGCATAAAGAACGTTCTCACCATGCCATTCATCTATGCGTAGGTCTTCAACATTCTTGACGCCCTGCAATTCTTCCCAGCAAATGCTTGAATTGAGCTTGAGTTTCAACGTTCTTGAAATTTGGCACTTTACAAACCAATTCCTGCTGGCATATCCAATGAATATTTTGTATCTTTCCAGCTTTTTAGAGAGGAAACCTTTAGGTAAAATCTCGGCATCTTTAATATGTATTTCTAAAGCAGTCAAGTTAGACAAATGCATTAACTCATAAAGACTAGCATTACTTCTTTCAACATCAAGTCCTTCGATCTCCCACTGGATTGAGGTATTGCCCATATACAGCTCTTCTAAAGCAGATAAGCTGGATATCACATTTGGGGGAACAACTTTTAGTTTGAAACAATTGGTCAAATCTAGCAACCTTAGCTTAGTTAGCTGACCTATTTCTCTAGGCAATTGCTCAATATCAGACTGAAGAAAGCTAAGGATTTCAAGTTTCTTCAGGTTTCCAATAATAGCTATGTCACTCAATCTGCAAAAATCTAGACACAGGGTCCGAAGGTTTAGTAGGAGATGAAGTGATGTAGGGAGTCTTAATAAATGCATTCCAGTCAAATTTAAAACTCTGAGTTCTGTCATCCATATGAAAGAATCATCTGGGATTTTCAAAAACTGATTCCCAGTATATACACCAAGAAGTTTAAGTTGGGGACATACCAACCCCTGAGGAAGCTCACTAAAATCATCATTAGCTATAACTAAAGAGATTGCATCTTTTAATGTATCCATATCTGGCCAGTCTCTTGGAACAATCCCATTTGTGACAGTAAACACATGGTTGTCTCTAGACGCTAGTGATATGGCAACATCACCAACAACATCATGCATAGAAAAATCTTGACTTCCATAGCCGTCAAGTAACATACAAGATGCTTTGAGTTTACGGACCAATGTATGTATTCTATCCCATGCTTCTTCCATTGTACTGATGCCATGGAATAGACCCAAGCCAATACCATATTTCAGCAAATCACGAAAGCCAGAAATATAAGTATATCCTATTAGCAAAAAGGTTGACCTGAGTTCCTCACTTTCTAAATAATTGTAACTTACCTCTATACATGAATAAGTCGCTTCTGGTAAATCTGTGAAGTTTCTTGGGGAAGGCCTAGTCATTAGTCGCAATGCATTCCTCCATTCAAATAAACTCTTTCCTCTCAATGCCCTTGCTACTGTAACAATACAAATAGGCAAGCCTGCACATGCCTTGGCTACATCAATCGCCACAGATTGCAAATCATGATTTTCAATATAACAACCTACCATCTTCTGAAATAGTCTCCAAGCTTCTGTTTCATCTAAAAAACCAACCAAGAAGTTATTTAGAGAATCCATCTTACTTGACAATACATCTTGACTTCTTGCTATCAGTAATATTTTACATCCTTTATGATCATCTTCGAAAGGAATTCCGATAGTCTCCAAATCAAGTCTTCTCCAAATATCATCTAAAATAATCAGGATCTTCTTCTCTTTCCTCAGTCTTTCACATAGTCTCCTTGCTCTTCCAGGCTCAGACTCCTCAGAGAATTGCAGACCGAGAGAATCTGCAATTTGCCCTTGAATCTTATTTATTTTCGGTGTCTGGGATACATCTGCAAATACCACCTGGTCAAAGAGGTTTTCTTTCTTGGCTTGTCTAGCAATTTCTTTCACAAGGGTTGTCTTACCAATACCACCCATCCCGTACACACCAATCATGTTAACATTAGGATTACTTAATGACTCTCTTATATCCCGCAAAGTGGACATTCTTGATTCAAAAACCTCATAATCTTTACAAGATGTAAACCATAGCTCCTCTGGAATGGTCCTGTGGGAAACTTTATTGAATTTCCCATCTTCCCTAAGTTCAGAAATAGACTTCACCTCCCTCACTGCTTTCTTGCTAAGCTGGTAGATCTTCAGGATAGGGCACAATCCCTTCAAGCACTTGTACTTTGCATTCTCTCCGTCTTCAATAATCTTCTGCGCCTCATCGATAATCTTCTCCACACTAATCAGCCAACCCTCAACTTCTTGTTCAACCTCTTCTCCTTTTCTTTTGGCATCATCAATAGTATGCTGCAGAGACTCTTTCGCATCCATCAGCTTCTCGACTTCTCGCTTGAGACTCTCAAAATTGCGGTTGTAGTTGCAGAAATAACCAAATTGGCGTCCTATTGGAGCAACCAAGCACTTCGCAACTTCTACAACAGCTTGAACAATTTCAACCATTTTCGACCTTTTTCCTTCCCTTTTTTTTTTTTTTTTTTTGAAAAATAGAGTAAAATAAAATAAAATGAAAATTAAAGAAAGATAACAACAGGACAATTACTAGGAAGCAAAACCAAATAACAGAGCAACAGAGATAACAACAAAACAATATCAAGTGTTCTTCAGATGTAACAAAGAAAACTAACTAAATGCATGTTAGAAAAGAATATCAACCATTCAATCAGGGCACAAATTGTTTACTTTAGAAGAGAAAAGGTTACAAGTCAAGTTACATCAAAAGCAAAGTGGTTAAATATTATATGCATTTCCCAGGTGAAAGTGTAGTATTGTACATTCAGTGTGGCAGACAATAAGGACCAAATAATGTCCTTAAAGTTAAAGTGATGATATGCTATTCTTTTAAGAGGTATTATGTAGCCAGACTTTATGGACTTGGTTAAGGTAGTCAGACAAGCAAATATGATTAAATGTCTACTGTTCTTTAAAGTAATGCAATTAAAATTAAAGCAATTTCCTGTAGCCTCTGGGTTCTCCAGATTCTGAAACACAGCGTCAAAACTTGCACAAACATGCTACTTGAGTACTTCTGAGCTTTTGGATTAATCATTGATTTTTGCAAATCCTCTCATTATCACCTTCCCTTTTCCTCAGATTCAATTAGTTAATTTTTGACAAAATTATATTAACAAGTGTGAAGGGGAATAAAAAGAAAACCAGAGAAAAGCAATAGTTGAAGTAAATCAATAAATGCGACTTTTAGTATGGCCTGAGAGTTGACAGTTCTTCCTAACTTAATCCATTTATTAGGTTAACATAAAAAGATAAAGATCATAAGGATTACCTAGAACGTAGCAGCTTAAATAAACAAGCGTAGAAAGAGGTTTTTATCATCAAAGGTCACGCAACAGAATCCAAAAATTCAGCAGACGATGCTCCCCAGTAAACATCAACATGAGAAAGTTCATGTATCTGAAACATGCATAAAAAGGGTGTATTCAGTGAATGCTTAACAGAAAAATGAAAATGGGTGACAAAAAATTCAGTGAATACTTAAACAGAAAAATGCAAATGGGTGAGAAAAATTATAAAATGGAGATGCAGGGGATCGAACCCTGTACCTCTCGCATGCAAAGCGAGCGCTCTACCATTTGAGCTACATCCCCTTTGACAATTAGGTTAATTTTATCAAAAATTATTTGTAATTAAGTAATAATTAAACTAATTTTTCATATTGATAGAATTTGAGTGGATTAACTCCTCACCCAATAAAGTGTTGTTGAATGAGAGGATTACCTCTTTTTATAAACCAATAAGCTTAAGCGTGTCTAGTCAGTGTAAGATTCCAACACTCTCTCTCGCAGGTTCATGTCTGTTGATGAAGGTAGTTACTAGCTCTAACTACTCACCCGCTGGTCAAGCACTCAACTCAACTAGGTCGGACTCTGACACCATGATAGAATTTGAGATGAGTTTGACTCCTCACCCAAGAAAATTTTAACGGGTGAGGAGACGAGCCCACCTCAAATTCTGTCATAGTATCAAAGCAAGGTTCAATTAAGCTAAGTGTTTGACCAACAGATGAAAAGTTAAAGCCAACAACTACCTCTATTAAAAGGTATGACCCAATATACAGACTTAATCATAACAAAGAGTGTTGGAGTCATACACCAATTAAGTACCCTCAAATCTATTTATTTATAAGAGAGGATAATCCTCACATTCAACAAATATTGGGTGAAAAGTCAAGCCACCTCAAATTCTATCACAGATTATATTTATTTATGATTATTACTTGGGTAAGTAAATTATCATTGCATTTCCTTTTAACGTTGATTCCATTAAACTCATGTTGTTACATTTACATCTGGATGTTGATATGAACAGAGAATTCTCTCCCTTTTCNTAACAAAGAGTGTTGGAGTCATACACCGATTAAGTACGCTCAAACCTATTTATTTATAAGAGAGGATAATCCTCCCATTCAACAAATATTGGGTGAAAAGTCAAGCCACCTCAAATTCTATCACAGATTATATTTATTTATGATTATTACTTGGGTAAGTAAATTATCATTGCATTTCCTTTTAACGTTGATTCCATTAAACTCATATTGCTACATTTACATCTGAATGTTGATATGAAGAGAGAATTCTCTCCCTTGTCTTCTGAGTGCAGATTAGCTTACAGCTCACACCACACTTTTGATTAGTACAGATTTTGTATGAATTTCTAACTTTGAAGAAAGAAACTATTGAAATTAAGAATGAGAGAATTTTCATTGTGTTTAGGCCGTCAATCAATCTATTAATTAAATTAAAGTCTCTGTGTAATGAAGTTCTCAACATTGCATACCATTAAAAGGGGTCTTCTGCCAGCACCAGCTCCATCCATCAATTCAAGATGTATTCTTGCTAAGAAAGAGATGATTAAAAAGGAGAAGAGTGGAGGAATCATCGTGTACGAAAACGTAGGCTTCTAGAAGTAGAGAAGAGGAGAGAAAGAGTATTCCTGTGACGACGTTAAAATGGAAAAATATCAAAATTCTACCAGTAGTGAAAAAGATGATGCACTTAATTTCCTCTCACTTCTTCTTTCATTCGCAATTTCACATCTCTCTCTATATACAGTATCCATACTTACATATACACACACCAACATTAGCAGCAGAGGTCATGGTAATGGGAATAAGAAGATTCTGCCAGATGAGCCATCAGGGCCTTTTAAGCTTTATATTCAGCAGCTGGTTGCCGTTTGCGGCTCCTACGTTTATGGGCATGCCGTAAGCGGCGACGAAGCTGATGAAAATAAGCTTGAAAGTGAAAGCTTTGAATATCTGCAAGAGGGAAGAGAAGACTAATTTTCTGATTATTTATTCATTATTACAATTTTTCCTTTGATTATGTTATATACATATATAACAAAAACCCCATTCCACCATTAGCAAGAAACCTCGCTTCGTCTCTCTTTCTTTTTTTCCGTTTTATCATGTTTCCTTTATGTTTGTGTTTATGTAATACGGATCATGAATTCTTTATGTTGCGGTTTGCGGCTGCTACGTTTATGGACATGCCGTAAGTTTCATTATATGTCATATTAAACTAAAAATTTATTCATTATTCTTTGCTTGATTACACAGATTATTTCATGTTGAAGATGAATTATTTGATTTGCAGGTGGGATATTCATCGCCGGCTGAGTCTGGAATCGTTGACGACTTTGGCCTGACTGGCACAGGTGCATTTAAAGCAAACGTTGAAAGACAATAGTACGTAAAAACTCTTTCAAAAAAGGAAAAAAGAAAAGAAACGAAATGAAGAAGATGAAATGAGTACCGAAACTCACCTCTGCCTTACATAGGCCAAAGTCGTCAATTCTTCCAGAGGTTTTTCAGACTTTTAAATGATTATTTACATATAATGTTTTTATGTTGGATCTGTTGGTTCTACTGGAGAGTGATGAAGAGAGAGATTAAGCAAAGGAAAGAGACGGCAGCAACATGAAATGAGTGCCCTGTTTTTCGTTCATAAAATAAGGATAATATATATACAAAAACAGTCCACTGTTCCACCTAAAACAACCTAATGCAGTGGATATTTTTACACATTTGAATTTGAAATAAACTTACAACTAAAGCATGTCTTAATCACAACTGAACCCAACTAAACATGTCACAAAACTTCACAATAATTCATCAAAAACAGTGGCTTCAACCACTGCACCCGTAACAGCAACTTTAACACTTGGCACCAAAAACAGTTTGAAAGTTTAGTTGAATATTTCTGCATTTCCAGCAAATTATCACCATCTTCAACACTTTAATCCAACGTGAAGTGACTAACAGGTTATAAAACAAACATCATATTATAACATTTTGTCACTTTACAAATGACATAATTATTACAACTTTTGAGTCTTGACTTGATGGTTTCACCATAATGCATCAAAATATACAAATGAATTCATTCCAGTAACAGAAGGCACCCAATTCCAAAAATACAGAATTCACACTTCTATTGATACTTAAAATTTCTTTTCAATATGGCAGGCTTTGCAGCTTGGAGGCTAAACCTGAAAGTGAATAGAATTCCAGTGAACTGCAACAAGAAGATAATGAAAAATAACCTTTCCACAATTCAACCTCAAATGATCATATCAATGAAAACTAAAGCTGGGCAATATGGATGGAGACAGAAGGCCTTTCTTGCAGTCTGACTTTGACAGTCAAACCATGCGCGGCAACGATGGTGCATTGAAGGATGATGACCTCCATCTTCCATAGAACATTGGAAAGTCTGTCATCAGAAAGCACAAAACATTCAAGGTGAAAGCAGGAACTGCTAAAGAAATAATGTAAAGCTTTCATATAAGGTGCTTAAACTAGACTTTTTGATGTCCTGAGTTATTTACCATTTCTTTTAATTTTATTTCTTTTTTTTTAATCAATATCTGTAAATATTGACCTAAAAAGCAAGATGGGAAACTTAGGAAATAGATACATACCAGATTTTATGTAACTCTTGTATGGTTGTATTTATGTCACCCTCCCAACATGCTTCAACCTCTCCTTCTGCCAGTGATACTTTTACTTTGTGTAAACTTGGTGTGCTTAAAACTCCTGGAGAGAAAATCTTCATATTGGGACATCCTTTCACAATTACTTCTTCCAAAGAGGGGAATTTGAAGGTGCCATTCCCAGAGCAGAGGCTTGAAAGATTTGGTAAATAAGACAGTGATAACCTCTTCAATTTACCAAATATAATCTCCTCTTCTGTTACATCTTCATCAGTTACTTCCATTTTGTATCCTTCATTATTGTTGATGTTATCTTCTGTTCCAATAGAAAAAATCTCTTCCATAATCCTGCATTCTGTCACTTCAATTATTTGAAGTTGTTGAAGGCCTCTAGCAATGGAAAGTGATAAGATACTCTTCAATTTGTCACAATTACCCACTTTTATGATCCTTAACCTGCTGAAAGATTCTCCTGAAAGATGACCATGACAAATCTTCTCCAGGTTGATCAATCTGCGAAGAGACAAGGACTCCAAAAGGGGGAAGGCATCACAAGCTACACAATCCACTGAACCAACAATGCACAGGAAATATGGATTATTTTGGACATAAAGATACTTCAATTGTGGGAAGCCCTCACTATCTAATTCATAAGCAACATTCTTGACATCCTGCAATTCATCTAAATAGAGTTCTTCAACTCCCTTCATTTGCATGATAATTCCATCCTCCAAGCAAATTCTGGTAATGAGCTTGAGTCTTAATGTTTTAGAAGTCCCATGATCACCATCCCAGTCCCACTCATCTCCTATGAATATTTTGTACCTTTCCAGATTTTTGGGGAACAAGTCTCTTGGTATTATCTTGGCATCTTGAATTTGTACTTCTAAAGTGGTCAAGTGAGACAAATGCTTCAACTCATTGAGGCTAGCATTTTTTCTTTCCATGTTGAACCCTTCAACTTCCCATTGAAAAAAGCTATTACCCATATACAGTTCTTCTAATCGGAATAAGCTTGATATAACATTCGGTGGAATAACTTTTAGGTTGCAACAATTGCTCAAATCTAACAATCTTAACCAAGTCAATTGACCTATTTCTCTTGGCAATTGCTCGATTTTAGAATACCAAAAGCTAAGAACTTCCAGTTTTTTCAGCTCTCCGATAATAGCTATATCTCCTAGTACAGATAGATCCAAACACAAAGTTCGAAGGTTTACTAGAAGATGAAGTGAAGAAGGCAGTGACACTAAATGCACGTTTGCCAAATCTAAAACTTTAAGCTCTGGCATTCCTGCAAAAAAATTGTCTGGGATTTTCAATGAAGGATCATTGTTAAACATATAGAATAACTTCAGTTGAGGACATTCCAACTCTTCAGGAATTTCATCAGAATAAGTCTTATGTAAGGAGACTACAGTACAATTTTTTTGTGAGTTCTTATCTAGCCATTCCCAGGGAACAACCTGATTTCTCATTGTAAACACATTCCACTCTCTAGAAGCAATTGATATGGCAACATCGCGAACAACATCATGCATAGCAAACATTTCACCACTATAACTATCCAGCAACAGAGAAGAGGATTTGAGTTTTCGGACTAATGTAGATACTCTATTGCGTGCTTCTTCCATTGTAACGATGCCTTTAAATAAACTCAAACCTATTCCATAATTCAACAAATGTAACATGGAACCATTTTCAGTATATCCCATTAGACTACAAAGCAAGAAGGTTGACTTGAGTTCCTCATCTTCTAAATGATTGTAACTCAACTCTATAGTAGAATAAGCTACAGCATGCATACCTGTGAAGGTTGCTGATGAAGGTCTTCTTAGTGTTAACAAGGCATTCTTCCATTCAAATAAGCTCTTGTTTCTTAATGCCCTTCCTAATGATACAATGGCAATAGGCAAACCTGCACATTCCTTGACTATATCAGTTGCTATAGATTTCGAATTGCGGTTTTCGAAATGGTCACCCGCCACCGTCTTGAACAAGCTCCAAGCTTCTTTTTCATTCAAAACGCCAACCAAGAAATTATCTTGAGTATCCATCTTATTTGACAATACATCTAAGTCTCTTGATGTCAACAATACTTTACATCCCTTATTATCATCTCCAAAAGGGATTCCTATTCTATCCAAATCAAGACCATCCCAAACGTTATCAAGAATTACAAGTATCTTCTTCTCATTCTTCAATCGTGCATATAGTTTGCTTGCTCTTCCGGACTCACTTTCCACATTCAATTCAAGGCCTAATTCGTCCGCGATTTCTCCCTGAATCCTTTTTATATCAGGAGTTTGAGATACTTCTGCAAAAACCACCTCATCAAAGAGCTTGTGCATCTTGACTTGTCTAGCAACTTCCTTCACCAGCATAGTCTTGCCAATGCCTCCCATCCCGTACACACCAATCATGTAAATATCAGGCCTGCTTAATGCATTTACTATCTTCTTCAAAGAGGCCATTCTTGATTCAAAGGCCTCATAACCTTTATCAGCTGTAAGCCAAATCGCCTCCGCAACAGTACAATATGAAACTCTACCAAATTTCCCTTTTTCCTGAAGTCCAATAACAACTTTTGCCTCCCTCACTGCCTTCTTGCTAAGCTGATAGCGGCTCTTCAAATTAGGACACAACCCCTTGAAACATCGGTTCTTCTTCGCTTTCTCTTCGTCTTCAATAAACTTCTCTGCCTTATCAACAATCTTATTCACATTAACCAACCACTTCTCAACATCATCTTCAATCTCCTCCCCTTTTCTTTTAGCATCATCAACAGAATGTTTCACCCTCTCTCTTGCATCTATCAGCTTTTCAACTTCTCTCTGAAGATTCTCCAGGTGGTTATTGTAGTTGCACAAATAACAAAATTGGCGGCCTATTGGAGCAACCAAGTACTCTGCAACTTTTGCAACTACAGAAACAATAACTTCTACCATTCTCAACTCTTAAAACTATATAAGGTAGTGACCACAACAAAACAGTTGCAAAATTCAAAGTCTTTTTGAGATCAAACCATGAAAATAAGAAAAGGGAAGCTTGAATGAAGCGTGAGTTTTGATAGATTATGGATAATTAATCAACGGCTGAATTGGTTGCTGTTAAAAGTTCCAAGCAAATAGATAATGAAATATTTGTTTCAGTCAAGATAGTTTGTATTTTTAATGAAGAGTGATTGAATATAATTGGAGCCGTGTCATCCAAGCCAACTTTAAAAAAACAAAATAAAATAAAAGATTGGAAGAAACAAGCCAACAACTTCTGCATAAAAATATGAAAAATCAAAGTAAGAAAGCCTTGTTCTAATGTTAAGTCCAGATCTTTCAGCCATATTGACAAAATGAGAATTCATAATGAAAAATGGAGATGCAGGGGATCGAACCCGGTACCCTCGCATGCAAAGCAAGCGCTCTACCATTTGAGCCAAATCCCGTCTCTGGATTTGTTAGTTTCTAACTGTAATTAATGTAATATAACTTTTACAAATCTTATCCGGGAAATTCTGTTTAAAACACCGAATTAAGCACTTTTTCTGGAAATTTTTTTTTATTTTCTAGAAATTATATGTAAATTACATAGTAAAGAAAACATTCATATAGCTTAAAATATGATGATTTGTTTTTATTCCAAGTGCTATCATCTTCTGATGGTGTGCTCAATATCACATAATGTTATGATTTTACACTTGGATAGTTACTGAAAAGCAGTACTTCAGTTGAACCTCAAGACACTTAAGGCACCATTAAGCCGTTATAAACTTTAGAAAAAGATCATGTCAATTTGATGGACAAAATCGGTGTCATCAGAACGATTACAAGACCTTCATGGGAATGGTCACCGTATAGCTTCAAATTACTTTAAAAAACATCTCACATTGATACAGTCACTGAAAAAGAATTCAAACTTCAATAGATGAATTGCACATTGAGATAATTACACTACTTTCCTGAATCATTTGTAAGTCAGTCCGCTGTTGCGACCTGACCACAATATCAATATCAATATCAATATCAATACAAATCAGTGGACGTAGGAATTGCTACCTTAGCATCCGAACCACTTAACAGCTCTCATTGCATTTATTTCGTATTCTCTATCCATAATCGTGTTCTTCTTGACCATCAACGTTGTGCACGTGTCGTTTAGTTGGTGTTAGAATAGAGCATCAACAGTTTGGCGCTATAAGGAGGGCTGATTTAGTGTACCCTTCCAGGAGAATCTTGACCTATGGTCCTACAACAGCAAATGGCCCGCCAATCTGAGCTAGAGCAAGCTATCAGCGCACTGAGGAGTTCCCTTGACCCAAGGAGATACCCCTCGAGGGTACCTCCAGATTCGCAAAATGCGGCGGGGGATATCCGGCAACTTCACAACTCGACCCCGCCATCAGAGGTACCTAGAGAGGTTCGACAATACTCTCCAGACGGTCAACCAAAGGTGGACCGTTTGGACAAAGGCATGTCATCTACAACAGCTATGGTGGTGCAACCGCCAAAGACGCCTGCAAATGCGCGAAGGCGCGGCAAAGGGCAATAGCCCATGCCGCGAGCACCTGCAGGCCGTAGACATAGGGTAAGCACAGTGGCAAAAGGTCAGCCTACGGGCTCCCAGGGACCAGAGTACAAATCGTGCCCGAGCAGGGTGCCGGTAAAGCTGAGACTCGGCAAAAAAGTGAATCCGAGCAGTCCATGCCACGTCGCAGGCGAACCCAAGCAAAAATGTCGCGCGCGATGATTATTCGCCGCCAACAGAACAATCTCGATCGTTATCATGCGAGTGGTCCCCACACCTCGCGAGGCGGTTCGTACCACGCCGAGGGTCGTGGAAAATGCCCCGCACAATCCATCGCTTCACACGCCCTTAGCCAGCGTGCGTTGAGCGCGGCCGGAAATGCCGGCCGAGGCGAAGAGGAATCGATCTCGAACTTTCCGAACCGTAATCGAGAAGGCCGGACTCGCACGGGTGAAAGCCACCCCAGTTGGCTCCGTTACCACAAATTGAGGAGCTACAGTGAGCTTTGATAGGTTAAGGGAGCAGCAAAACGAAAAGGCACAGGTCGCCTCTGCATCCCCTTTTCTCCGAAGTGCTAGTGTCCACTCCCACCAAGGTTCAGAATGCTGATATGCGGCCGTTGATGGGAACCATGATCCGCCGGATCATTATATGAATTCAACGACCTGTGGAGTTTCACAGGTTTCGGATCTTGCAAAATGTCGTTGTTTGGCTGTGGCTGACTTCTCACGCCAAACGGGGGTGAGGTCACTCCCAGCGGATCGATCAGCTCGTGGCCTCAGATGAGCACCGACGTTCCTACGGCATTTCCAAGCTAATGGAAGTTTTCAATGCCTTTGAGCTACCTCAGAACATAAGGCAAGGAGAGACGAATCCCTGCAACTTACATCGACCGTTTCCACAGGGAACTAACAAAGTGGCTCAGCCCCAGAAGAGTCCATCCGAACACTCATAATAGCGAAGTTCGCCCGCAAACCGACCTGTGGAAAGAACTGCAGGCCGAAGAAGATGTTTCCTCACCCATATTTAAACAACTTGTAGAAAAGTATCTCGAATAGAGAATTCAGTGGCGGCCATTCGCCGTCGCGATCAGGCACTTCCAGCAGTATGCCTGGTAGAGAGAAAATAGGAGACCTGATCGTAAAGGAGACATTGATGTCAACGAAAAGGAAAGAGAACCCGCTACGAGCACAAAAAGTCCTATGCTCCTGTTCCTCGCGCGACCGCGACCGAGCTCAATACACTCCGCTAAACGTGTCCATTTCCACAATCCTTGACAAATCCGAGGAGGCCAGCCTAATCGATGAGCAGAAACCAATGAAAACACCTGCTATGGCCCGACAGCAAAAATACTGCCGTTACCATCGGGATAATGGGCACCACACTGATGAATGCCGAGCTCTAAAGCAGGCTATCGAAAAGTTCATCAAGAAAGGGCACTTCAAGGAGTACATTGATGACTCTCCAAAGAAAACCAAGGGGAGCAAAAGAAAAAACGTCGTGATCACAGCGGATACAGCAGTGTTAACATAATCTTCGGAGGTCCGCACCTCCCGGGAAACACGCTCGTGAAGCATATACGAACCGATCAGGGTAATGAACACTTCGCAGCGACCTCAAAAAGCTAGAAAGTAGGACCGATCACCTTTTGCGAGAAGGAGGCAGGCGCTTGCACCATCCTCATGAGGACGCTCTGGTGATCACGCCCTAATAGGGTGCTATAATGTCTGCAGAATGCTTGTAGACAACGGAAGCGCTGTGAACATCCTATTCAAGACCGGTTCGATAGAATGAACCTACACGAGGCCAACTGAAGCTAGCCCCGATGCCTTTTACGGTTTTACAGGGGATCACCGATCCCCAAAGGAACAATCCAACTACCAGTCACGCTCGGCGACTACGACAAGGTGACTAGGGTTACCGAATTTTTGTCGTGGACTGCCCATCGGCCTTTAATGGAATCTTGGGGCGACCTCTGTTGAGAACCTTCAAGGCAGTCACTTCCATTTATCACCTCAAGATGAAGTTCCCCACTCCAACGAGGATAGGGGAAGTGAGCGGATCACAAAGCGACACGCGAATGCTATGTAAAAGCGATGCAGATGGCAGATAAGGGAAGGGCATTCCGCGATGTGTGCCCGCCAGGCCATGGCGACATAGGATGAGCCACAGTCTAGTCAGCGGAGGATAACATAGATCGGAATCCAGAAAATCCCCCTACGGCCCGGTTGAAGATCTGTCCGAAATTTCGGTTGATCCAAAGAGACGAGCCGATGAGCCGAGTGTTAGGATTGGGAGCTGTCTCAACCCTCAGCTCGCTTCCGAACTGGTAAGCTTCTAAAAGAAAACATTGACGTGTTCGCTTGGTCGCATGCAGATTGGTCGGGATAACCGGACTTATTTGCCATGCCTTAACGTAAGCAGTGAAGCCAAACCGTTCGCCAGAAAAGAAGAGCGATGGATCCGGGTGATATGTCGCATTAAAATCAGGTGGAGAACCTTCTCCGGAATGGATCCATTCGTGAGGCTCTCTACCCGACCTGGGTTGCCAACCCGGTTGGTAAAGAAGCCAAACGGCAGTGACGGACCTGCGTGACTTCAGCGACCTTAACAAAGTTTGCCCGAAAGATAGCTTCCCTCTACCGAGAATCGACCAGCTCGTTGATGCCACCTCGGGGCACGAGCTACTAAGCTTCATGGATGCATAATCGGAATACAACCAAATCCCGATGTACGGGCCAGACGAGGAGCATACATCCTTCATTACAGACGGGGGTTATACTGTTACAAAGTCACCTGTCGGCCTCAAGAATGCGGGCGCGACCTATCAGGCTAGTCAACGAATGTTCTCCAACCAGATCGGGAAGACAATGGAGGTCTATGTGGACGACATGCTGATCAAATCCAGGTCGCCTAGAACACGTTGCACATCTCGCTGAGAGTTGAATCCTCCGATGTACAGAATGAAGTTAAACCTCTCAAGTGTTCGTTCGGGGTATCATCAGGAAAGTTCCTAGGTATAGGTTAATCAGCGGGGCATAGAAATAAACCCCGAGAAGATTCAAGCTCTGCTCAATATGGAGAGCCCGACCAACAAAAAGCAGGTCATGAGTCTAAATGGGCGGATAGCGCACATTAGTCGCTTCATATCGAGATTAACTGACGCCTGCTACACATTTTTCAATGTTCTGAAGGCCAACAAGAAGTTCGAATGGACTTCCGAATGCGAACAGGCATTCCAGAGTATAAAAAAAACACCCGTGGAAGCCACCCTCTCCTCTCTAAGCCACTTCCACAAGAAATGCTCATTTACCTGTCCGTGTCGCCGTTCGCGGTCAGTGCAGCTCTGGTACGGGAAGAGGAAAAGACGCAATGGCCAGTGTACTATGCGAGCAAGCGCCTGTCGGATGCCGAGATGCGATATCCAGAGATCGAGCGAATAGCCCTTGCTCTACTGATCGCGTCTAGAAAGTTGCGACCTTACTTCCATGCCCATACAATCAACGTAATGACTAATTATCCCTTAGGCA